AAAGAGACGCTATGTTTTTCAAAACCTTTTAAAATATTACGACTATGTTCTTCAATTCTGATATGTAGGGGTCTGGTGGTTTTCCCTATATAACATAGACCACAAGGGCAGGTCATTAAGTAAATGAGGTTTTTTGAGTGGCAACTCAGAAAATCTTTAATTTGATATTCTTTACCATCTTTATCTTTAAAAAGCTTTATATGTCTTTTTTTATTATTTGACCTTTTGCACGCTAAGCATTGGCCACACCCAAAAAATTCCTTATCCGAATTTAAAAAAGTATTCGTACTTTTCTTTTCCTTTAAAAAGCTTGAAGTCAAAGAATGGCGCAAATTGTCAACCCCTCTGTGTATAAATTTAGGTCTTTCTGGAAGAAAAGGTTTTACACCTGGATCTTGTAATAAAATTGGCCAGAACTTAGAGATTATTTTTCTTACTTTTTTGTTATCTGTGCTGAAGTTGCATATAAAAGGGAGTTCCATAAATGTATTTTCCCTTTTATCCTTATATTTCAAAAGTTTCTCTCTTTCTATCATTCTTACTTCTTTCCTGGCCATTTCTAATTTTAATTCTTCATATCCTTTCTCTATAAAATCTTCTTTAATTTTAATAGATTGGGTCTCAAACATAGTTGGATCCGTACAATTACGCCTAATACGTAGAAACTGTCCTCTGGGGGCATTCTCAAGCCACAGAGAGTAGTGGCAACTTTCTCTCTCTATGTAGCTATTAGCTTCTACCGTCTTAAAATAGTTTCTAGTTTTAATCTTGTTTTCTTCAATGTATATCACTAAATCTAAGAAAATTATTTCCGTCTTGCTCCAATTGCTACTGAGCGTTATACCCCAGGTATTCTCATTTAAAAAATTTAAAAATTCAATAAGATCTTTTTCTTCTCCTTTCCATACAAAGAAAATATCGTCAATGTAACGACCATAGGTAACCAAGCTTTCTCCCCAGCCATGAATGCCATAAATAAACGTATTCTCCCAATGGGCCATGAATAAATTGGCATAGCTGGGGGCAAACTTGGTTCCCATGGCCGTCCCATTAATCTGGAGGTAGAAGTCCTCTCCATACCAAAAATAATTGTTATTTAAAATTAACTCAATCCCTTCTAAAATATATTTAGTTTTACTATCTGTAAAATCTGGACTTTCGCTTAAAAAATGTTTAACAGCATTACAACCATATTGGTGTGGAATGTTACTATAAAGAGCTGTAACGTCACTTGTAACTAAAAAGCAGTCACTATTCCAAGTGCAATTTTCCAAAAGATTTAAAACCATAATGGTATCTTTAATATATGAGGTAGTCTTTTTTACTAATGGTTGGAGATGAATATCTACATAATGCGACAATCTGCTAGATATTGAATCAATCCCTGCCACTATTGGTTGGCCTGGGGGATTCACAATGTCTTTATGAACCTTGGGGAGGAAATAGAACACTGGGATTTTAGGATATTTCATATTTAAATAGTTGTATTCTTTTTCGTTTAAGATTTCTAACTCTATCCCTTTTTTAAAAAAACTTTGAAATACTTGGTTCATCTCGTTACTCGGATTATGTGTCAATTTTTTATAGGTACATTCGTCATTTAATATTCTTTTTGCTTCTTTACAGTAAAATTCTTTTGACATTAAGACAATTCCCCCCCCCCTTATCAGCTGGTTTAATAACCAAATCGGAATCCGTTTTCAAATCTTATTTTATTTTATTTTATTTTTATTTTATTACAAGATCCAGGTGTAAAACCTTTTCTTCCAGAAAGACCTAAATTTATACACAGAGGGGTTGACAATTTACGCCATTCTTTGACTTCAAGCTTTTTAAAGGAAAAGAAAAGTACGAATACTTTTTAAAATTCGGATAAGGGATTTTTTGGGTGTGGCCAATGCTTAGCGTGCAAAAGGTCAAATAATAAAAAAAGACATATAAAGCTTTTTAAAGATAAAGATGGTAAAGAATATCAAATTAAAGATTTTCTGAGTTGCCACTCAAAAAACCTCATTTACTTAATGACCTGCCCTTGTGGTCTATGTTATATAGGGAAAACCACCAGACCCCTACATATCAGAATTGAAGAACATAGTCGTAATATTTTAAAAGGTTTTGAAAAACATAGAGTCTCTTTACACTACAAAATTGCACATAAATGCGACATGAAAGACACTACGTTTTTAGGAATTATAAAAGTCAAAAAGGATTGGAGGGGAGGCAACTTTGATAGCAAAATGAGTAAAATTGAGATGGAGTGGATCTTTAAATTAAATACTTTAATCCCGAATGGTCTAAATGCGGACTTCGAGATGTGCCATTTTTTAAAATAAATGCAAAATTATTTTATGGTTGCACTCATACCTCCCTTTATTGAATTATCACTTTCTTATTACTATGTGAGCATTGACTAAACTATGTTTCAACTTTTATAATATCTGGAATTAGACATTTATAAGGTGTTTTAATTGTATAACCACTGATTCATTTATTAATACCCATTATCTCTTAAGAATTCATCTTTTTAATAATGACATAAGATCACAATATGCCTGTAAAATGGTCATTTTATATTAATACACTTATACAAGAAATAGGAATAGAAGGGAAAAAAAACACTACAGAATGGAATTTATTAAGGGTTTGGATGTACTAATATAAGGCTTGTATATGTTAGACAAAGAAAGCTTGCCAATTCCACAGATATGTTAAATTCATTTGAACTTATATTTCCCTTCAAAAACCGCCGACCCGGAAATCCTGGGGAAATAAATGGTGAACCGCATGGTGGAACGCACAGTGAACCGCATGGTGGAACGCAAGGAAGTGACGTATCGGCGAAACCGGAAGTGACGCAACGGAACAGAAAACCCGGAAATGAATAGAAAAAAGGCTTGAAACGCAGGGCGTCACCGTTTCTATGGTGATTGCCCGCGAAAATACAAGCCTGGACACTAATTATCTCACCCCTGAGAGGGGTACATATAGCAGGGAGAATCCATGGGAAGTTTGAATCACCACATCCAGCTGAGGAAGCCTGTAGGGCGAAACGCGTACTGGAGAGACTGTGAGACTTTGGACTTTTGGATTTTATGCCAATTTGATAGTGTTTTTTATTGTTTTTTATATATATATATATATATATTTTTTTTTTTATACAATTACCGTTATAATAAAATTATTTATCTTTTATACTATATATTGGCATTTCCCTGCTACTTTTTATTCATTTTTCACAAAGAAGGTGTGTAGTCCTCAACTACACAAGTGTGTGGATTAGAGCCGATCTGGATGGCTCTAATTTTGTGAGTATTACATTTTATATTTATCTCACATTGAAAATTATTACGATACTGCACCATATACAGTTTCTACTTCTATAGGAAATCAAGGAGATCTATACACAAGAAGGGTGAGGGTCGCCTTTACGGACCCCAAGAGCGCAGATATTGAGCTATTTCATATTAGCTCCTAAAATTGTGAGTGGGAAATTTTCCCTTCCTAATTCTCTATAACGGACTTTATTATACAGTTTGCACTATGTTTGGTTTGTCTGTTTTTTATGTCTTGTAGAATTTATACTCTTATGTGAATATAAAGACATAAGGAATATTCAAGGTAGTATTAATATATACCTAGTTTTTATCACTACCCTTCTATTTAAATATAGCGCTACACCACAAGAGTTTTTTGGGTTCCTATTCTTGTAAGATAAGAACTTGGTGTGATAGCAGCTACTTTAGTTATTTGGAACACAGTTCACTGGTTGGGGAATATTTAGCGCTGGTACACCCCCTCTCTTTTTTCTATTGTAATTTATATGTTTATTGTTTTCTGTCTGAAATGGTCTTGAAAAGAGTTCAATGTTTCCAAAACATTGCTGTTCAAATAAATAAATATATAAATATAATGCTAATGGGGACTACCAATTTAAATATATCACATTTTTACAAAAAAGAGACAATGAGATTGCATTCATTTACATTTTATTGGCACATTTACAAGACAAAATAGAACATACATAGAGTAAAAGACTTTTTTTTCTTGAAACGTCTGGTGGTTCTCCAAAACAGATATTTAGGCATGTAGAGAAGGCATTTATAGTCATATGACTGTGACAAATGCAAAGGTCACCCACACAATGAATAGCAAGAGGACATGAAATAGCAAAAGTGCTCTATAACAAAGGTTTCCAACTCTGCAATCAAGATACACCAATAAAAGAGGATTTGTTTGTTTCCTCGTGCTATTTCTATGGAAATACTGAAGAAACCTGGAAAGTGGCTTGCCTTGAGGAATGGATCTAGAATTATAATTATATGGATACAAAGAAAGCAAAACTAATCTTGACTGTTATACACATCAGTCTGATGATAGAAGTGGGTTGAATGGTTTATAATGTTTGACACCCTGAGAGCTATTTAGAGAAGTAATTATAAAAGCCATAATTACTAAGGCAGCATGTTCCCACAGAAAACACTGGGATTCACGTCTATCATAAGGCCACTGACTGATGTCATATATAAGAATAATACAGATTTGGCAAATACAGCGATTTGTATTCAAGAATCACTTTTATAATCTGCCTGGGGCTGCATAAAGTAGCAAACTCATAAAAACAACTTAAATGTAGGGAATTAGGACTACTTCATCAGTTATATAATTGTAGAAAATAATCCAGGCACTCCCAATTGTTCCAAACGATAGACAATTTTTATTGGACTTAAGAACCACACAACGTTTCGACCCCTTAGGGCCTTTGTCAAGCTTTGTCAAGCTAGAAAAATGTATTTACTAAAATTTGCACAAAAGTTTCCCAGAAGTTAGTTCTACAGCTAATAATAATTCTACCCCTTTTCTGCCCAGCATTTATTTCCTTGTTAGTGCTGGGTATCAACCAATCAAATGATTCTTTTAAAGAAACGTTGAGGACAAATAACCCTCCTAAAGATGGGTGGTTTTACTGAGATTAGTTGTTTGTGTTAATATGCTATACAAACTTAAGCTAGACACAGAAGTTGCACAAAATGCATATTGCCAGACATGAAGGGAGTATTGCTTGAAAGCTGAAGAAGGTGACAAAATAAAAAAAAAAAAAAAAAAGATATTTATCTCCAGGAAAGCATTGAAAAAAATGAAATAAAGGCGGCAGGGAGGAAGTATATATGCTGATTAAAGTGCTCCCTTAAGTGCAGCTCAGAATTAGCATTAACATTGTATTCCTAGCACTATAATACTCTTATAGTCCCCCTCTCACCATTGACACCCCAACCCCCTGCAGTGCAGAAAGGGTTAAAAACCCTTCTGTCACTTACCTGAGCACTCATTAGGACTACCCCATAGGAAAGCACTGAATCAATTACCAAAGGTGGAGTTAACCCTGCAATGTGATTATCGCAGTTTATAAAACTGCAATAATTGCCATTACAGGGTTTAACAGACAGGGGCACTGCACTGGTCTGGGTGCCTATAGTGTCCCTTTGAGATGCATGGAGTGGTAACATTATTAGCATGATAGTATAATGTTTTAATTCATAAAATATTTGGGTCAGGTTGAACAGTACCTGTTCTTTCACATTGTCGATTTCTCCCTTGATTCTATTAATAACTCGATTGTGTTCAGCAATCTCATTTTTGGTGTTCCTTAAATCATCTCGATGTTTTCCTGAAGAAATACGCAACTCTTCATACTAAAAGGGAAAAAAAATACATAAATTGCATTTTTTTTCTTTTTATTTGGAAATTGCAAAGGGTAAAATATTACGTGTCTTATATATGTGCCTGTTATTTATCTTATTTTTATTTTTACAGGTACTTATTTAAAGGTCCCCCCTCATTTTTTTTAGGGTGAAAGGGGGTAGCTAGGGGTTCATTTTTTGGGGGAGGGAGTGACTAGGGGTTTGGGGACCCCTAGTCACCTGGCTGGGGGGAGTGGGGGTTAAATTTGTATTTAGGGCCCCCACCTGCCGTTCAGGGGTGGGGGCCAGGGGGAGGACATTAGGTGTCCCCCCAATTTGTATTTAGGGCCCCCACCCACTGCTCAGGAGTGGGGGCCAGGGGGGAAGACATTAGGATCCCCCCTTATTCTTGTGTAGGGCCCACAACCCACCGCTCAGGAGTGGGGGCCAGGGGGGAGGACATTAGGTCCCCCCCTTATTCTTGTTTAGGGCCCCCACCCACCGCTCAGGGGTGGGGAGGACATTAGGTCCCCCCCTTCTTCTAGTTTAGGGGGGGACCTAATGTCCTCCCCACTCAGGGATGGGGCCGGTGGGGAGGACAATAGGTCCTCCCCCCTTTTTTCACTTTAGGGCCCCCAGCTGCCTCTCAAGGGTGGGGGCCTGAGTGGGGGGACAATAGTTCACTGTTTAATAGACATGCCCCTACTCGCGATATAGCGAGTAGGGGTATAATTTACTAATACTAAGTAATCTTTACTTAGTATTAGTAAATTTGACTGAAAGACCAATTCAGATCTTTCAGCCTTTTAGTAGATAGCTAATACCTAATACCGTGGGAATCTACTTATTCATTCCTTTTTTATCTATTTATTCATCCATTTTATATGAATGTGTGTTACTTGATTGTTCTAAGTGTTGCAAATGCTTACAGCTGAATCCTGGCTATGTTTGTATACTTTTTATTTAAAATTGTATACAATGTAACATTCTTCTTCTTTCACTGGGTAAGTATATTAGTACTTAGGCAATACTGTGCTTCGGAACTTCGGCACTTTGACACTTTGACACCTCGGAACTTTGGCACTTCAGCAATTCAGCATTTCAGCAATTCGGCACTACTACACTTCGGAAATTCGTTAATTTCGGCACTTCGAGACTTCGACAAATCGGCACTTCGGCAATTCAACTATTCGGACATTCGGAAGCACCCGAATGTCCGAATTGCCCGAAATTCGGCCGAATTTTCATTTGGACCGAAACAAATTGCACATGTCTAATGTCTGCAGAAAGCTGATTTCATCGGTTTGTAGCCCTACTTTTGCTTCTAGATCCACTTTGTTCGTAAAAGCCACATCCACGTTCCTAAATGGATAATGATAGCATTATATAAAATACTTGATAATATTTATAGAATACATTCTATATTAAAAACAAACAAAAACAAACAAACAGACGAATAGAAGATAAGACCATATACAAGACACAGTTTGAGATGTATGTATAATTCTGGGACAAAACTTGGAAAAAACAAGTCGATTCTACTGATTTCTATGTGGATTTCCATGAAAAAATTTTTTTTCACTAATTAGGAGTGCGCGATCTCTAATATTCCACGTTAAATTATTACTTTCAACCGTCAAGAGAGCTGAAAATTATGGGAAACATTGCCCTGTATTCAACAGATGGTGTTCAAAAGGTTGTCGATTCTTGTATTCATCACAATTGGAAAAAAGGAATGAATAATTGACACTAAAGTATTCCATCATTTAAAAATGAATTGAATGCTAAATACAGCACTATATTGCCTTAAGCAACTGCCAGACACATTATATTTTTAAATGAAAAAAAAAAAAGTACACCTCTTTAGTAGATTTTTAATGTGGAAAGATGAGTAATGTTACAGGCTGTCAGAAATAATCCTTTCATTTATCCCTAGTTATTTACTGTTTAAGTAAGCATGCAATCACATATGTAATATTTATATACTAAAGAGAGAGGGGAATGGCTGGTTCTTTACAATTGATAATTAGAAGATTTGCATGAAGCTCACAGTCTCTGGTACCTAGTTTTCAAGAGACTGACTGTGCCCTCTATGAAACTGTTCGTGCATCCACAGCCAAGAAAAACAGAAATCAAAAGCACCTGTGTGGTAGGTTTCGCAGGATTGACTAAAACCAGAAAAGTCAAATATTACGGGAAATTAAATTACATACTTACCTCGTAATTTTCTTTTCCTGGCTATTTATCATGGCAGCATCACTTATAGGTAGCTCCGCCCCTAACCAGATCAGGACAGGATTAACTAAAAAAAAAAAAAAAAGAGAGAGAAAGAGACTGGAGGCATAAAAGGTCCCTCCTCCTTCCATACCTCAGTCAAGTCCAAAAGCAAGAAGGGAGGGTGACTGATGCTGCCATGATAAATTGCAAGGAAAAGAAAATTACTAGGTAAGTATGTAATTTAATTTTCCGTATTCCTGGCTAATCATGGCAGCATCACTTATGGGTAATACCCAAGCAAAAACCCATGAAAGGGAGGGAAAAAAACGATTCAATATGAATAGACACAAAAACTCAGATTGCTGCAAAACAAATTCCAATTTCATTTATGTACTTCAACAGTAGATAAGACACCTCTCCCAAAAGAAGTAGTCATAGAATGAAGGTCCAGTTTGTAGTGCTTAATAAAGGTAGTAGGAGTGGACCAAGTAGCTGCTCTGCAGATGTAATCCGGAGGAACCTCTGCCCAATTAGCCCAAGATGTAGCCAGGGATCTGGTGGAGTGAGCTCTGATCTTTGATGGAGGAGTCAGCTTGTTCCGCAGGTAGGAGTCTGTTATGACAGAAGCTATCCATCTCCGTAAGGTAGAGGAAGAGGCCGCTTCTCCCTCAAGAAGGCCAGAAGGAAGTACAAATCATTTTTTTGTTTTTTCTGAAGTCAGAAGTAACAGACAGGTACTTGATCAAAAGTTCTCTCACATCGAGTTCATGGTATCACTCTTCCTCGGGAGAAGACGGGGAGGAACAGAAGGAAGGGAGAACCACTTCCTGGAGCAGGTGAAACCTGGATACAACTTTTGGAAGGAAGTCTTCACTAGGTCTTAGGATCACTCTATCATGAAAGATATGAAGGAGTGACTCATCACTAGAGAATGCCTGGAGTTCGGAAATCCTCTTAGTCGTGGTGACCTCCACCAAGAATACCGTTTTATAAGTGAGGTATTGAACTAGATGTCCTTCAGAGGTGCGTAGGGAACTTCCGTTAAAGCATTCAGGACTAATGGCAAATCCCATGGAGGAGCTGAGTTCCTGGCTAGAGCAGTGGCGGATTCAGAGCCTGATCTTGGGAGGGGCACTTGTAGATTACTTAAATAAATAATCCAGGCACAATAACCACTACAGCTCAGTGCAGTAGTTATGGTGCCAGTAGAGTCAGGATCCCATCCTAGAGTAAGTAGTCAAACCATTTAAGAACAGTATGACAACTTACCTGGGGTCTGCTCGGATATAGGGCATAGGAGCAGTGGTATGTGTTAGGGGTGAAGTGTGTGTGAAAGGTGCAGTGTGTATGTGTGTGTGAGCGGTGAAGTGTGTGTGCGAGTGCGTGAGGGTGGCAGTGTATATCAGGCTTGCAGTGTGTGTGTTAGGGGGCAGTGTATGTGTGGGGCAGTGTGTGTGTGAAAGAGCTGCAGTGTGTGTGTGTGAGCTGTGCAGTGTGTATGTGAGGGTGGCAGTGTGTGTGAGAGTTGCTGTGTATGTGTGTTTTGGGCAGTGTGTGTATGGGGGGCAGTGTTTGTGGGGCAGTGTGGGTATGGGTGTGCAGTGTGTGTGTATGGGGGCAGTGTTTGTGGGACAGTGTGTGTAGTGTGTGTATAGGGGCAGTGTTTGTGGGGCAGTGTGTGTAGTGTGTGTATGGAGGGCAGTGTTTGTATGGAGGGAAGGAGACTTTTTAATATTTTTTTATTTATACTTTATACTTTATGTCCCCTTCATCCCTGGTGGTCCGGTGGAGAATCCCTGGTGGTCCCAATGGTGGTGAGGTGAACTCTAGCCCGTAGCTCCAGGGCTAGAGTTCACACTCACGAGATTTGGAGCGTTGCCGTGGTAACCGCGGCAATGCTCCATGCTCGCGAGAGGACGACCAGGAGGAGCTGCAGGCTGAGCTTCCGGGTCCTCTCTCACCTCCCCTGCCGGCTGCCAGCACGGTGTCTGCGGACCGGGGAGGGAGATCACTGATCACATTGCTAGGCCGGCACTTGGACAATGCCAGCCCTGCATTAGTCGGCAGGGGAGAATCTCGGGGGGGGCACTGGGCTGGAGGGTGTAAGTGTAACGCTGCCTTAAAGAACCTTGAGATGAGAGTGAGAGATGCCCATAAGGTATTACATAGTGCAGATAGAGCTGAGGACTGCACCTTCAAGGTGCTCAGGCTGAGACCTTTGTCTAGGCCTGCTTGATGAAATTCCAAAACATGGAGGTGAGTAGGATGTTGAAAATCAAAAGATTTAGTCACTGCCCATTTTTGGAAAGTTTCCCAAATCCTATAATAACAGGAAGATGTGGACTGTTTCCTTGCCTTTAGGAGGGTATCAATCACTGCTTCGGATAGGCCCTGGATGAGGAGGGATCTCCTTTCAACAGCCAGGTCCCCATGTTCCAGCTGCATGGATTGAGGTGAGTTGCTGGACCCTAGATTAGAAGGTTCGGGGAGATTGGAAGAAGCCATGGATGGGTCAGAGACATTTTCAGTAGAAAGTGATACCAAGGTAACCTGAGCCAGATCGGAATAAACACCTTATTTCCAGATTTTCTTCAGTACCCTGGGAATCAGAGGCAGGGGAGGGAACACATACCCCAGGCTGAAGTTCCAAGGATGGAAAAAGGCATCTTGCCCCAGAGCTAGAGGTTCCTTGGAGAGGGAAAAAAAACTTTCCACCTGAGCATTCTGTCTGCTGGCCATCAGGTCTACCTGGGGTATGCCCCACCTCTTCGTTAAACTCTGGGTTTCAAGCTCCACTCACCTGGTAGAATGTGAGTTCTGCTGAGGAAATCTGCCAAAATGTTTTCCGTCCCTCGTAGGTAACTTGCTTTTAGGCCTTTGATATGAATCTGTGCACAGGACATCAGAGGAGTTATTTCTTTTAAAAAGAGTTTGCTTCTTGTACCTCCTTGGTGATTTATATAGGCAGCCACTGCCCTGTTGTCCGTACGTATAGAGAGCCAAGGACTCCTGAGATCCCTGTGGAGTTTCTGTATAGCAACATAAATGGCCCTCAGTTACCGCAGATTTGAGTGAAGGCATTTCTCTGATGGTTTCCAAGTGCCTTGAATCCATATTGATTCTGTGTGAGCACCCAATCCCGTCATGCTCACATATGTAGTGATAACTTGCCATGGAGGATCTTCTATTGGAAACCCTTTCCATAGATTGTCTTGCTGAAGCCACCATCCCAACTGATCTTTTACGATTTGGGGACTTTTAATAATTTGTTTCAAGTTGTTGTGATAGCGGTTGAACTGACTCAGGAAATTCGACTGGATAGTTATTGAGTTCCATTGAGCCCATCGGACTAAACCTATAGTTGAGGTTATCGAGCCCAGTATGCTCATGTACTCCTTGGCTGTGATGGAAGGTTTGTGGCGAACCAAGAACATTTTGCTTTTCAGTCTGCTTATCCTTTCTGGTGATAGGAAGACCTTTGCTTCTACAGTGTCGATATAAGCCCCCAGGAATATTGTTTGTTGAGATGGAGTCAAAGCACTCTTCTCTTCGTTGACAATCCAACCATGTTCCTGAAGACAGTTCACGGCCCGTGTGGTGTGACAAGAGGCTTCTAGATGAGATGGAGCCACAATTAAAATGTCGTCTAGGTAGTGAAATATGACAAGCCCCTGTTTCCTCCGGTGTGCTATAAGGACCACCAGGATTTTTGAGAAGGTCCTTGGAGCAAGGCTTAAGCCAAAAAGAAAGCCTCTGAATTGGAAGTGCTGTCCCATAATATGAAAACGGAGGAACTTGCAATGAAGAGGGTAGATGGGAACGTGGTAATATGCGTCCCTTGGGTCTATGGATGTTAGCCAATCCCCTTTATTGATATTGGGAATAATAGTGGATATGGATTCCATCTTGAACGAAATGCTCTTCAGGAATAGGTTGACTTTTTTCAGATCTATTATAAGTCTCCATTTCCCATTGGGTTTGGGGGCCAAAAATACTGTTGAGTAGATGCCCTTATATGACACCTTGAAGAAGCAGTTTTTTCACATCTGAAATCATGGCTTTGCCTTTTTTCCCCAAGGGTATTCTTGAGCTTATGAAGGAGTTGCCAGGAGGAAAGTCGAATTCAATTCTGTAACCTTGATCAAGGATAGACATGACCCAAGAGTCTGATATGTTTGCGGCCCAGACAGATAGGAAATGGTGAAGTATTTCTCCTAGGTAGTCTGTATGGGCCTGTAAACTTTCAGAAGTTTTTGTAAGGGACTCTAGATCCCCTTCCTCTGGAGGATTTTGAGGAAGATGAAGGTTGATAGGTTCTCCAAGATGCATACCTATTGTGCTCTTTACCAGGTTGGTATGACCTATTGTCTCGAAAGGACCTAATACAAAACTTTTTTGTCTTGGGTATCTCTTCCCTTGAGGTAGAAAGGCTTTCTTGTCTGCTGCTTTTTGGATAGCCTCATTGAGTACTTTTCCAAACAGGAGATCACCTTGGAAGGGGAGAGTGCAAAGGGAGGCTTTCGAAGAGTTAGCTCCCCAAGAGTGTAACCATAGGGCTCTTCTGGCAGAGGCAGATAATGCCATGCTTTTAGCAATCATCAGATGTCCAGGGATGCTTCAGAGCTGAAGTCCGCTGTGAGTCTGAAGTGCCTAGGGTTGTCCAGAAGGTGTTCTATTCTCACACCTCTTCTTCCAGGTTGTCTAACCATACCTTCATAGCTCTGGACCAGGTGGTTAGGGCTGTGGCTGGGTGTAAAGCTGAGCCAAGAGAGAGATAAGCTTTTATTAGGTGGACATCCAGTCTTTTCTCCATAGGTTACCGTAGATATGCCATGGAGTCAATGGGAAGCGTGGTACGTTTAGCAATTTTTATTATTTTATTGCATCAATTTTCAGGATAGCACTCCAAGTTTTGCAATCTTTGGAGGCAAATGGGTAGATCCTAGGATTCTTGTTTTTTAGGGTAACTTTCTTCTCTGGTCTGGCCCATTCATTGAGGATCATTTCCTTGATAGAAGGATGCACAGGAAACAATGGTTTTGAAGATCTGAGGTCTTCAAAATATTTGTCAGATTCCAAGGATTCAGTTTTCTCTTCCTTTTCTCTTCCTGTAATTTTAGGGTATTTCTTATTAGGAAGATTAGTTTTTCGACAGATGTGGTGTCTAAGGATTTAGGGCCATATTCCATATCTTCCTCCTCCTAGTCAATAAATTCCTCAGCTCAGATTCAGATGAGGGAGAAGAGGACTCCGTTTTCTGACGTTTCTTGGATGGGGTGTGTTTTGAAGAAGCTTTGAAGCCTTCAGCTATGGCTTCGGATATCCAGGTCTTAAGTTCTTCTTGAGGGGAACTATTCCTGGGTTGGTTGTCTGTCACTTCTGTCATGCAGGGGAGGCATAGGTTTTTACCCTCTAGAGCAATTTTATTGTAGGCCAAGCAGCAATTGGATTTTTCCTTGTGTTTCCTGGGAGATCTATCCTGGCTCATACTAGGGCTGCAAGATAAGAAAGGCCATGTAATTAACTATGGGGCCTGTATGGCACTCTTTCATTCCCCTTACGTAGATAAAAACTTGGCTCACCTATGTTTCTTTGAATCCGAGCGGTTGGGCAGCAGAGGGAGAAGACATCTAAAAGAAAAAAGGAGTGAAGAATTTTATTACCTTAATATGACTTAAGAATAAATTTTGGGGATAAAGATATAATTCTTACCTTCAGGTGAGAAAAAAAGACTCTGGCAGTACCGAATAACTTTCCAGAATAGTTTAGGAAATGAATGAACTAGACACTTTAAGAATCAAATGAAAGATCAAATCAAAAAAAGATTGTCTCTTTAAATGAGGATGATTGCACATGCGCAGATCATTCGAGAGAATGCTGAGCCATTCGCGCCTTTTTTCTAGATCAGATCGCGCCAATTATGAGAACTGTGGTATAAACGAACAGAAGCTAGCCTGGAGAATCCCTTAGAAAGGAAACGAATGACATAGCATTCAAATGGAAGAAAAAAACAAACAAAACAAAACTAACGAACAGGGAATTCACTCACCAAACTGGTGAATCCCTTAGAAAAAACTAGAGGAAAAAACTAATTAAATGAAATGAACGAACAGGGAATCACTTACCATATGTTAGGCTTACCACAGCAACATGAACAAACTCCCGAACAAATGATTCTAACGAACACGTGAGTACACGAAATGCTCATGCATGCTGTTTACTAGGTATTTCAGGCACAGAGAGGCTGAACTGTGTGTGGTAGAACGATGGTACACATGGGAAGGTGGCCAAAAAAAGAAAAATTGCTAAATAACATTTTAACCTGTCTGTACGGTTAAGGACAGGAAAAAAAGACTGAGGTATGGAAGGAGGAGGGACCTTTTATGCCCCCAGCCTCGTTCTTTCTCTCTTTTATTATTGGTTTATCCTGTCCTGATCTGGTTAGGGGCGGAGCTACCCATAAGCGATGCTGCCATGATTAGCCAGGAAAGAGGATTTTATTGTGACCATATTGTTAGTATCCAAATGAAACCAGAACATTTGGATTTGCACTTATGAATACTGCAGTTTTAGACAATAGTTTAGTGTAGCGCCAAAGATAGTTTGCGTAGGGGCAACACATGACCCAATAATAGAAATCTTCTCGGACTATGGATTTCATCATCCATGACAAAATAATATGTGATATAAAACTGCATACTGCATAATGAAAATTAAGTCTGTTTAATTTATACCTGGTGCTTTCACAATAGGGTTATAGAGAATATTCTATGATGTTGCTTGTTTACCAATATTAATTTCAACATTGCTAAGAAATTCCTCCTACGCAGGCTTTCTTAAATGTAGCAGGCTTCGGAGATTGCAACATTAGTAGATTTCTCATAATCTACTTTAACACATACAGTGGGACCATGGTTTACAAATGACTTGGTTAAAATAATTTTCAGTTTACAAATGAAAATCAATTGAAAATAATGCCTCGGTTTACAATTTTTTTTCGCAATACAAAGCAAGTTTCCCCAGGATGCATTGCACCTGGGAGGTTTATAGCACTGCCCCCTGCATGCTGGAGCCTGTGGGTAGCACGTGGCATAGAGTGTGGAGGTGTTGGAGCTGCTTTTGCATCTAGTTTGGAACCATTCTGGAAATTGTTTGCAGTTGTTTTGGGACTTTTTGGTGCATTTCTCAAGCTGTGGAAAGGTAGGGAGCTGAGCTTCATTGTTTGCATACCTTTTATTGTGTGTTCTGCATTGTGGTTTGGTTTCCATGCCAGCTCATTTTGACTTTTTTCTGACCTCCAGAACATATTAATTGGTTTTCAATGCATTCCTATGGGAAACCGCGTTTCAGTTAACAAATTTTTTGCAATAAGAAATGTCCCGGGGAGCACATTAAATTCGTAACCCGAGGTCCCACTGTACTTTTAATTTCATAATATCATTATTATTAGCATTTAGATATCGCCAACATTTTTCGCAGTGTTTTACAAATAACAATGGGATTATTTAAAAGCATGTAATTGACAGACACAAATAATGTTGATAAACACAAAAAGTGAAGAAGGCCAAGCTCAAGCGAGTTTACAATTTCAGCAAACTTGCAAAAATCTGTGTAAGACAAATCAAATATATAGGCTACATACAGATCATCATCTGTTTCAATGCATACCTTTTTAAGCACCACAAAGTCATTTTCAGCAGCTGTGCGCTTGTTGATCTTATCTTCATACCTTAGAGAAAAAATATTAGGGTAACATTTTTTAATTTAATGGACGTGATGAATGCATCCATTTTTAAAAACTTTTATTTTGTAACAACAACATACTTTCCTTTGAAATCTTCTACTGTATCTTGTATGCCTATGAGTTCTGCTTCAAGTTGTATTCTGTCTCCACCAATTCTTTCTAAATCCCTCCTAAGATTTGCTAAATAAGACTCAAAGTAGGGTTCAATGTAACTTCTGATAGTCTTTTGTTATGTAAAATTTTCCACTTTGTTTCCAACATTTTATTTTGCTGCTCCAGGAATCAGACCTGTAAATAAATCATCAAAGTTTCATCTTTGAATATTCTTAAAATGACATATATATTTCTATCAATTAAGATTTTGAGATTTCATTTTACCTTGTCAATGAAAGAAGCAAATTTGTTGTTGAGTGTTTTCATCTGCTCCCTCTCCTCTTTCCTCACCCTTTGAATATTTGGATCAATCTCCAAGTTGAGTGGTGTAAGAAGGCTTTGGTTAATGGTAACAGGTGCGATGCCAGCAGGACAAAACCCAGCACTGCCACCAAATCCGGCACCATATCCACCGCCTGCACCAAATCCACCTCCAGCACCAAATCCAACATTGTATCCACCACCAGCACCATATCCACCACCAAGTCCATAACTGAGGCTAGAGCCACCACCAGCTCCACCAACAGCAAATCCAGAGCCAAGTCCAGCATACCCATATGTGCTCCTCGCAGGGTGGTAGCCACTAAATGAAATTCTGCTGGTGCTGGGACCTACTGTATAGAGACTTCTGCTACTAAAGTTCCGCTATATCTGCAGACATTTCACAGTAAGACTGCATAAGAAGAGCTAAAATTGTGAAGGCTAGATTTCGAACTCGTGCGAATGCTTTGATGAGACATTGTCAAGCTTGTGTTCAAAGGGCTTAATGTTCTATATGATGTGGAGTGTACAGTGACCAATGAAAGCGCTTGCTTTGCTAGTATCTAGCTATGGTTAACCCTTTTAAATAGATCTTAATATGGGTTTGGTCAATTAATAAAAAATAACAAGACCCTTTTATTACACGGTTTATGAGCTTTTAGTGGTTGGCACTGTCTCACCTTATTCATCATTTTATAAATATAAAATTAACAAAAGCCACACACCTTATACAAAAAATGCAATAATTTCTTGCTGGCAGCATCTAAACTATAAATTTTCAGAATAATTTTAGTTTTATATTATTATTTAAACTGTAGAAACAGGAATATGCCAGGGTTAATTGGTTCCTAAGAAGCGGTTACATCTCTATATAAAAATGTACTAATTGGATCTTTCCCAGCATTTCCTTGAACATGTAAATGGTATCAAAGGTGTTATAAAAATACATTTTTTTTTTTGTTTTTTGGGTGTTGTAATTTTTCTTATATATTTGAGATTGATCTTGTGATATTAGAATACATTAAAAAACGTATTTTTGCTTTCTAGAAGCAAAATTATCATATATTTAACATATAAATACTCCATAAATTGGGTAAAAAAAGAAAATGCTTAATATTTATGTATCAAAAGTGTTCTAGAGATTAAATTGATTTAAACATCACTAAACAACTCTCTCCAACCATCTCACATTTCTTACAGTGGGTCAGGGTCTTTGGTATATAAAAGTAGTTTTAAATTTGAATAAGAGAAATCCTATGACACTATTCAATGAACTGTGAATATCACCACCTTTGAAATATTTGTCATCATTGGGTGAGGATAAATTAGAATGGCCATTAGAGACCATTGACCATCTTCCATAAGAAAAATAAAAATATTTGGGAGTGTTGCAGTTGGAAAAATTGCACGTTGAGAGATAAAAATGAGCATTTTATTACATTTAAGGGATTTTGCCACGCACAAAACATCTAAGTATATACAGTAATCTGTTCAGTATGTTGATGAATATGCCATTTATCAACCAATGAGTAATGTCCAAAGTAGGTATGCTAACGAGGAAGTATGACCTTCAGCTTTTGCATATGTGTGCAGACTGGAAGGACTGTGGGAATCGACAGACAGGTAAGTGGCAAACTATTCACAAATGGGTAGACCTCAGACTGTGGGTCGATACTGTAGTGGCTGAGGTGCTTCGAGTATCTCTTTAATGTTATATTTGATATTGACTGCTTCAAGTGATTCTAATGAATTCAATATATCAATTTAATATGTTTCCTACTTTTAAAATGTAGCAGATCAATTCAAACATTTTGACAGGAGGACTTGCTTAATGGTCTAATATGTCCCTTAATGGTCCTCTATGTTGATCTCATATGTGGCATTTAAGAGGTTAAAGTAGACCAATGAGATGACTGGAGTGACCCAGCTTATCACATTGGTCTAATACAGCACACAATTTCTCCCCACTATTTGCACTTGATTAGTATACAACTGGAATACAATGCTGCATATATGAACAGCTGTCTCTAAGATCCAGTATCACTACATTTGTTTGGCTGGTTTGATAGCATTGTTTAATTTCATACTAAGCATTGAATATGCAAGCTTCCAAGGGGTACCAGAAGTCAATAAGCTTTGGAAAGCATTGCAAATATATTTTTTATTAGTGAGGTGATATCACTTCCTCCCAAGTAACAGTGTGCCACTGGGGAGGTGGAGGAGGCATAAACATGTGGAGTAGAGGGACTGAGGAAGTAAGACTCCCATCAGCCTTGGCCATCCAGATCCCACTGGACACCAGTGAAGCCTCCCTTCTCTACCCAAAAGGTAAGGAGATAGGAGTGTGGATAAAATATGATGTAATTTGATATGTGTGTGTGTGTACCTGGGTCTGAGTCAGTGCATCTGGCTCTGTGTGTGTGTGTGTGTTTGTATCTGGCTCTGTGTGTGTGTGTCTGACTGTGTATGTGTGTGTGTGTGTACCTGGCTGTGTGTATGTCAGTGTGTGTATCTGGCTATGTCTATGTGCATCTGACTGCATATGTATGTGTATGCATCTGGCTGTGTGTGTGTGTGTGTGTGTGTGTATCTGGCTGTATATGTGTGTGTGTACCTGGCTGTGTGTGTGTGTACCTGGCTGTGTGTGTATCTGGCTGTGTGCATGTGTCAGTGTGTATCTGAGTGTGTGTGTGTGTATGTGTGTATCTGGCTGTGTATCTAGCTGTGTGTGTGTGTGTGTGTGTGTATCTGGCTGTGTTTGTGTCAGTGTGTCTATCTGGCTATATGTGTCTGTGTGTATCTCTGTGTGTATGTGTATATATGTGAATGTATACTCGAGTCTGTGTATGTGTACGTGTGTCAATGTGTATGTGTACCTGCATGTGTGTGTGTTTCTGAGTGTGTGTATATGTGTGCGACTATGTGCCAGTGTGTGTATCTGTGTGTCAAATACATACACACATACAGATACACACTGACACACAGATACACACTGGTACATACAAACACAGATACACACTCCAGCACATATGAACACAGATACACACATTTTGACACACACACACACACACACACACACACACACACACACACACACAGTGTGTCAAGGTCTGTGTATGTGTGTAGAGATCCATACACACACACATACACACACACAGATACACACTGACACTGACGATGTTGATACACTGTGTCAAACGGTTCCACTGGAAAAAAACCCTGCTCTAGAGTATGTTGATGTACTTTGGAGTACTTTTAATCCAGTTATTGATGCACGAATATCATCTTAAAGGTATATGTAGGCACACTAGTTTCAATAATATGCTGAGGTATTTATTGCAATTTATTGGTTAACTTTATTATTCTTTAAGAGATTTAGAGTCTTGCCAATTTAATCTTCTACTTTCACTTCTTATCTTTGTGCTCCTTAGATTGATAGGTCCCACTATTTTGCATTTATTAGTTAGAGGTATTACCTCAAATACCAGTCCTACCCAACAGATGCCTAAAAACTTTAGTTTCTACAATAAGACTACATAAAGGGGATGCATGTTTATGAAACATTGGAATAAGCTTTTATTTTTTTTAATAAGATTAAGGGTATGTTGTACCCCCTTGTATAGGGGCAGGACTGAGAGTCTTTTGAAGCAATGACTTATCCTTTACATGTAAACATGTGTGCACCTTAGGTATTTTTATTTTTTGTGCAATTTTGGTGTGCGTTTTAGACTTGCGTTTTGCTTGATAAAGATTAATACGTTGTAGCCCTGTTCTTGTAGCCATTCAGACTTATTGTCCGTTTGGGTTATTTTCTTTATTCCTGTTTTATGTGGTGATCTTCAAAACATGCGTCATAGCTAGTCATCCGTGAGTTTTCACTTGAAGGGTCCATCACCCTGTTGTAATGTCACGGTATAAACCCCAACTCACAAACTGTAACCCTATATGGATCAAATAGAATGTTTTACAAATTCTTAGAGTCAAGGAAAACTGAAGTTAGAATAGTCAGAAATCCAATATAAACACTGAGAATATAGATTGCACTATAGGGGCCAACAAGGAACCATAACAGGGCACTGACTAAAGTATGACGCGCTCTCTATATAGTGTGAATGCTTAAGCATTAAAATGAAGCAAATTAAAAAAAAACAAGGTTGTCCCCTGGCGCTGCTCCTATATATCTTGGCTATAGAACCCCTCGCAGCTTCAATTAGACAATAATAAGATTGAAGGTCTGCAGATTCATTGTGAACATCATAAAATTACTCTATATGCAGACAATGTCATTCTAACTCTGTCTAAACCAAAGATTTCCATGTATTTGGGGGGAATAAAATACCCATAGTTTCGTATAATAGACTTACTAAAAGAGTTGATAAACGCGGAATAAACATTCCTGATATTAAAGAATTACATGATTGCACTATGCTTACCCATTTCTTGAAATGGGACAATCTCATTAGCTCCAATCGAAGCTGGAAATCTATGAAAATAATAAGTACATCTTTATTTAAACTAGCTTGGATCGGTTCTGAAAATTACAAAAAATGTATACTCTCAAATAAAATTGTAAATGAGATAACTATTACTCTCAAATTATTTAAGAAGAAATTGGGCATTTGTAATGAATTAATTTGGTCCGCACCAATTGAGGCTATTCAACTCTATATTAGTGATTTAGATCTATTAAAAACTGAAAGAATGTAATATTCAAAATGTAACTAAAATCACTCATTTGGAAAAAAACTAAAACATTTATAGATATTCAAACCCAATTTGGATTGCATCACCAAGAGCTGTACAACTATGCCAGAATAAGACATCTAATTAATGACTTGGATATTAAGGGACATCCAGAATTTGAAAACTTAACTAATAAACACTACAAAAACAAACACATATCCTAATGGAAACAGAGAAATCTAAATCCATAAAAAAGGGAAATGGATATAAACAAATCTTTCCCATTGGATACATGGGGAGAAGTATTTATTGGAATTAGGAAAATTACTCACAGTCTCAGTCTACAAGACACCTTTTTTAAAATTGCCCATCGATGGTATCTTACCCCATACAGAATTAAGAAGTTCAAAAATAGTTACTCAGATAAATGCTGGAGATGCTCTAAGGAGGTAGGCACAATATATCATATGTGGTGGAAATGTGAGGAATTAATTGAAATAAAACTGAAGATCTTAAACATATTTCTAAAATTAGGAATATCCCAAACATTTCTATCTCATGTAGATCTTCCAACTTGTAACTCTGAACGAAAAATATTAATTATTCA